AGTCAGGGAATGGATAACAACCCTGACTACACCTTAGCATCACTTAGGATGTGTTTAAAGAGATTCTCAGGCCTTTCCCAAAACGAATAAAATTAAACTCTTTTAGGTTTTTAACTTTGGACCAAGAAATGGGTATTTTTCATGCTCATCATGATTTTAATATGCTTCCAAGTATGAGAACTATGGGTTACACAATACCCAAAACCATCAGTAAATTCAGCATGTTCTGAAAGGAGAGAAAAGGGAAAAAATAAGTCAAACCAATTACTTGATATTTGGTACCACTCTATAAATGATTGATTTTCTTAACTGTTAATATGTTTGCTTAGCTACTGTGTGAACACAGCTTATTATGTCTTGATCTGCCTAATAGTGTATTGTATTTTAAATGAAGACCAGGAACACTTTGCTTTCCAATTTAATTAAAAGTAGATTTTAGATTTGTTTTTCAACTTTATTTCCATTTGCCAACCTTATTTTCCAACCTGACAGGTCTAACTGCTGAATCTCAGACACTGAGCATTCAAACCACTACACCTTTGAGTTGCCCTCCCTTTTCTCATTCTCACATTTTACCCCAAACATTCCCTTATCACTCCAGCCCACTTGATTTTCTCTTCTCTGAATTCAGATATTGCAGCTGTTTCTATCATACACTCTCACTTTATGGTCTTATGTTGTTAGCTCCACTTAGTGAAGTGAAATTACCTGTTGTTTTTTAAATTTCTACATATAATCTCAAGCATCATCAATCTATTCCAAATTGTCATGTAGGACTAGAAAAGGGAAAAAAATTTATAACATACCGTATTTTTTGGACCATAAGACGCACTTTTTTCCCCCCAGAAGTGGGGGGGAAAAGTCCCTGTGTCTTATGGTCCAAATATAGCCTACACGTATACTTTAAAAAAAAAAGTTTTTTTACTTGCCCGGCTCTGTGTGGTCTCTGTGTGCTTGCCCGGCTCTGTGTGCTTGCTGCAGCCACTGTCCATTCCTCCGTGCCCAGAGTGTCTGCCCCGCTCTGTAAACCCCGAGTGGTAGAGGAGTTCCCATGTATGGTAGTCAGCCTCCATGCCCTCGCTGCAGCCATATCTCCATGTCAGCCCAGGTGCGGTGTACCGTAACTGTGTAATCCAAACCGTAATCATCGCCTGTACTCCTTGCTGGCCTGTACTCCGTGCCCGGAAGAATGCCGCGTCTATTCCCCCAATCATTCCTCTCTGCCCTCTGTTGCTGTCCTTGACTGCTGGGTAGGCATACTGTAGATCTCCGCCCACCAGTAAACTCCGCCCTCCGCTGGATGCCCTGATTGATAACGCCGCTATGTCAGAATTTCTCTTCATACTATTATACCGGTAACTGTCAAAATGTTTGTACTGCAACAAACTTCATACCAGTATATTGTATGCAGAGACTTTCTGTGATACCAAACCAATAACATTTACCATAATGTAAAACACTCTCCAGCCTCTTCTCTCACCACTACAATGTGTAGATACCCATAAACTATGCAAAGAAAGCATTGAAAGTCTCTGCATGATTTATGGGTTTACACATTGTAGTGGTAACACTGAACTTTTTGTTTCAGAATCTTTTTTTTTCATTTCCCTTCTCTAAAAACTGGTGCGTCTTATGGTCCGGTGCGTCTTATGGTCCGAAAAATACAGTAGTACTTATGATTGTCATTATAATTCCATTTTATAGATGAGAAGGCTGAGTTTCAGAAAGGCAAGATGATAGGCTAATAATTTTCAACACTAAGATGTTTTTCTCAAGACTGTTTGATTCAAAGTATGGAGAAAGTTTGGTTTGCTTTCATTTTGTGTGTGTTTCCAATTTAGTACTTTATTTTATTTTTTTAATCCTCACCCGAGGATATTTTTTCCATTGATTTTTAGAGAGAGTGAAAGAGAGAGGCCAAGACAGAGAGAAATATTGATGTGAGAGAAAACACATCGATTGGTTGCCTCCTGCATGAGCCCAGAACAGGGCCCTGGCCTGGCAGGAGCCTGCAACCGAGATATCCTTAGAGGACTCTTATGTTCACAGGTCCACACTATCCACTGAGCCAAATGGCTAGGACTCTAATATACTACTTTAATTATAATTCTAGGGCAGATTAAGAATATGAACACACTAACACATATTGAAAGAAGATTCTTCTTAAAATCAGTGTCCGCTCTTATGAGTTAACTAGGAATCCAATGCACAAAGACTCGAGCTAGAATGGGCTTTCCTTTCCCTGGCTGTTGACACCACCTTTCCTCTCGGGCCCCGCCCCTTTCCGCTCAGGCTCCAGAGGCACCTCTTTCTGCTCCAGCCCCACCTCCCCACACTGCCCAGAGGTCTGAGAGACTGGGGGTGGAGCAGAATGCCTGTGTCGTCACCATGGCAACGATGCATGCATCCAGTCCCAGTCACTGGGTGCCTGTGTATGCAAACTAATGCCATCTTTGTTGGGTTAATTTGCAAATCACTCCTGATTGGCTGGTGGCATAGCAGAGGTACCATCAATTTACATGTTTGCATAGTATTAGGTAACATTTTTTTTTTGTTTGCACTAATTTGGTTTCTTTTGAAAGAAAAGTATTGAAGCAAAGGAAAGTCATAATAGTATATTTATTTTTATAAAATTACTTTTTTATTACATAAATAATACCTGATAAAGTTTTCTTATAAAAAAAAAGTAAAACATTACAAATATGGCTAAAAACTCTTGTCCAACACCCATGCCTACATCCTGCAATTTACTCATTCTCTGTATCTTTATTTCTCTTAAGAAATAATCATTTGTATCTGAATGCATCCGTTAAGACATTTTAAATGTATTTAAATACAAGTATACAATATATCATGATAATCTTTTTATGATGTCAATTTTTGGTGTATTGTCATCCGAAACAAAGTACTCTTGGTAGTTTTATTTGTATGTCTAATGTGAAATACTTGAGGAGGATATCTAATTCAGGAGTTGTCAGAATTAGATTTCAAAGTTATATCTCAACCCTGTGGAGTAATACACCAAAGCTAGAAAGATAAAACTTTCGGTAGCATAAATATCAAAGTGCAAGTAAGAAATGGAGAATTCTGGTTTGACATTAGTTTATATGAAAAAGACTTAGAGGTTTGTTTATCACTGGTCCAAAATTTAATAAAACTTCTGATGCTTTGAAAAGTCAGTATTTATTATCTCTAAAATAGGACTCTATTAAGTATATCTGAAATTATCCCAGCATATACAATTTTAAAAAGAAAATCCTAGTTTGAGTAAACTGTGTATAATATAGTGGACTAGTAATTGTAAAATATGGGACTTATTTTGTGAGTTAGTGTGTTCTTTATATATGTTTTTCTTTTTCATATAAAAGCAATGCCAAGTAAAAGAAAATCATTTTGCCTTCCTCACATCAATTACTCTAGTTATTATTATGGTACAAAATATCTGTTATAGACCAGATAATTTTAGCATGAAAAATTCCTGTGATAAGGCATTGCAATAGCATTCTTCCCAATGTGGCTGTCTTCTCAAGTAAGCATTTTGCCCTGTGGTGTTAATCTCACTGATTGTAAAGCTACTTTCTAATATGATAACATATCTTAGTGAAAATTGCTCACACCAAGCATTCTTTGCCTGACTATCAGGGATTGGGGCATAGGAAGTTGGGGACATTCTCTTCATGAGACTCTTGCCTTCCCATACCTTGACTTGTGTGAAAAGACAGGTTTAGAGGGGAAAAAAAATTCTAGGAAGAAAATTTAGAAGCCCTTAATATACTGATTACCTGAAAAGCTTTTCCAACATTAGTGAATATCATTTTGGGTGTGTGTGTGTGTGATTTCAAATACATTAAGTACTGGTTATATAGGGTACAAGGAAGTATCTATCTATCATCTATCTATCTATCTCTCTCTCTCTCTATCTATCTATCTATCTATCTATCTATCTATCTATCTATCTATCATCTATCTATATCTATCTATAAAAGCTTAAGCGACCTTTATGTCTGAACAAGCAGAATGACCAGAACTCCTGTAGACCAGTCGCCATGATGCTTACTGACCACCAGAGGGCAGATGCTCAATGCAGGAGCTGCCCCCTGCTGGTCATTGTGCTCTCACAGCCAACCTTCCACATTTGGCCAACCTACTTGTCCCTTCTCCCATGCGGCAGGCCTTGATCAGCCCAGCCTTGATTGGCTCAGCCCTGATCACCTGCCAGGCCTGGGGACCCCACCTGTGTATGAATTCATGCACTGGGCCTCTAGTGGTTATAAGAGATACATTGACTTTCCTTTCTAAAGGAAAATGAATATTATGTTCATTTATTATGACCTTGACTGATCATAAGGTGCAGGTGACTATGAGTCTCAACCTCTTTTCAAATGTGTTCTTTTTTCCTAAATTGAAAGTAACCTCTCACATTAAGTATTTTAGAAAATGGAACCCTGACTGACAAGGAACAGACTGAATCAGTGAAGCAAGTGGACTGGTGTATTTTTTAAGAACTCCAAACCATGGTTTTATTTGAATGTGTCTGTGTATTCCCTGATGTCCACCATACCGCATGAGAAGGAGATCCAAGTTCTTTATTACTGGCTTCATTCAGCAGTATCAGACCAATAATAGGTGTTTATCTACCAATGTGTGTTGCTCCAGATAGAGTAGCTCATTGTAATTCTCGCCTCCAGTTCCCCTGCCCCAAGGAAAATATCTGTATCTCAGATCTGTCTAATTAACCGGTATGTGAAGAATAGAAAATTGTGAGGCAATCCTTATGCTCATTGTTGCTGGGCTTTGAAAAGCTCAATAAAGTTTCTATCTACATTTTCTTGTTTATACTGTGGAGCAAAATGGATCAAACAAGCAAAGATTTGTGGTCACAGAGTCGCTGCCTTTGTACAATATAACACATACTGTGAATCAAAGAAATATTGGGCCACTTCTTCGAAGCTGACATTGGAATGACATTGTAATCCTGGCCATCTGTCTTCCTCCTCTAGATATCGATGAATGTACGGTGGTGAATGGAGGCTGCCAGCAGCGCTGTATTAACACTCTGGGCACCTTCCACTGTGAATGTGATACGGGATACAGACTCCATGCTGATGAACGCACCTGCATAAGTGAGTAAATATTAGGAGCAGCTTGAAGCCATTTTCAGTGAAAAATCAACCTGCCTATTTAGGGATAGGAGAGAAAGGTTTTTCTAGTGGAAAAAATATATGTAGAAGTTGACAGTTTTCAAGCACAATTCTATCTCTTAGAATAATAAAAAAGAGTGTTTTTTTTTGTTTTTGTTTGTTTGTTTGTGATTGGTTGTTGTTTTTTTACTACTAATAAGCTAAAAGACAAAAAAAATGGGGAAGGGAATATAGAAATTAATATTCACAAGCCAAAGTTGAATCCCCATGTGGGTGAATATTTCCATAGCAAATCATTCTGCCATGTGCAGTAAAGTAAAAATTTGTTAGTTGTATATACACAAGGAGCCCCAACGAAAGGGGGTTGTCAGGCTGTACAGTCACTACCTACAAGTTCACTCATCTCAGACCCAGACTCACGAGTATAAAAGCAAAAATTATAAACAGACTATATGCCAATTTTAGAGTTGCTCAAGAAGAGTTAAAACTATACACACTAAACAAGGTCACTATGTATTTGTTGTACATCAAAATGTACTTAGATATTTTTGTGGGGGATTATTATTTTAAATCTTATTTGGATGTCTTTTCAATTTTCTAAGTTTTTAAAACTATGTGCTTTAATACACAGAAAACTGCCCACTAGAATACGTTTTTAAAATACTGTGCTTCCTGTATGATTTATTACTACTCTGATTTTGTTTTCACTGGAGTAGTTTACATAAAAGTTAAGTGTTTTTTATTTTCATTGAATGATGCCCCTCAAATGACATCAGGACACATTCTAATTTTATCAGCAGGTCCCTTTAAAAAATATTTATTATAATAAAAGAATAATGCCTTGAACAGCACAATTTAATTGCTGGTTTGATTTATTTATGGCTTGTTAACTATAGTCCATTTACTCAAAATTACTAATATTTTATCAGTATTCTACAATTATAAAACTTAGAGTAGAAAAAAGCTAATTTAACCTAGTTTCATAACACACCCCCTTTCTTTCTGTGAACATCTTGTAGGAAAAATGAGAAGGCCAAGGGAAATAACCAAAGATGTCCTAGTCATAAGTCTGACTTTTTATAAGTGCAAATAGAGGTTCCCAGTGGCAGAAAATGACTTTTCCAAGGTTGAGTAAAGATACGAATATATGTCATGCCCTAAAATCCAGGGAACTCAGTATTTGGAATGATTGTATCTGCAGCAGGCACAAGTGTTGGTGGGACATGCATAGTTGCATGCAGGATTGCTAGTCTTAGCAATAGGAACCTCCTTCCCATCCCCATCCCAACCTGTAATGTGTCCAGCTGATAACATCCTTAAACTGCCACCATCACTTCACTCAGTTATGTAGAGAAGCAGCAGAATTATGAATACATGCCATTGCATTACTTACAGTAAAGGTTGAGCTGGTGAATTATTGTGTCAGATATAAAAGTATTTGCAAAGTAATTGTGTGTATAAATCTATAATGTCTGGTCTTTGTGATAAGGCAAAATAAATAGTAGCCAACAAAATTATATTTACCGATAAAATTAATTAGATAAACCCTAGTAGTTATTAGCTATTTCTTAGTAAAATCATTAAGCTCTTTCCTTATTCCTCACCACCACAACCCTTGAATTTTCCAATTTTCTTTTTAATGACATCAGGTAAAAAGTGGAGTTAGGTAAAGATATTATGGTTTATCTTTTCTATTTCTATTCCTTAAATCACAATTCCTATTGTACAAAAACATTGACAATATGATAATAGCTTATTTACAGTTCCACGTGGTGGGTGATCTTCTCCTTATGCAGAATTTCAACTTAATGTAAAATTAAGCTTATGAAAAAAACAAAACAAAACATCATTTTAAAGCATTTAATCCATCGAATGACATTCTGCAGAAAGTACTGGACTGAGAACCCAGCACTTGCCCTTCATGGAAGTTTTGATGCCTTTCTCATAAGCATAGACTGAAGTTTTGGTTTCCAAGAACGGTCATAAGAATCTCATTTAGCCAAAACTGGTTTGGCTCAGTGGATTGAGCGTCAGCCTGTGGACTGAAAGGTCCCAGGTTATATTCAGGTCAAGGGCATGTACCTTGGTTGCGGGCACATCCCCAGTGGGGGGTGTGCAAGAGGCATCTGATTGATGATTCTCTCTCCTCAATCTTTCTAACTCTCTATCCCTCTCTCTTCCTCTCTGTAAAAAATCAATAATATATATATATATATTTTTTTTAAAAATCTCATTTAATGCAATTAGAAGAATTTTAGCCCTTCTATAATATTTAAGGATTAATAATAAGTGTGAGGACAAGATTTGCTTGTTTGCTTATTTGTTTTGAAAGGATTTACTTGGAGAACTGGGTTTCACATTAGTCTAGAGTTTGAGTGATAGTGTAGAAGTGTCAGATATATATGTTTTTAAAACAAGAAATTAAGTTAGCTCACTTTCCTTGTGGGAATGTTTACCTGGCAGGAAACTGAGAATTGCAGTAGACAGGAATTCATCCTGGCCCGTGGCAGAGTCACAAAAGAGAAGATGGAGTTATGGAATTTTATGATTCTACTACTTAGGAGTTCTTGAAATTAATTGCCTCCGTTGCTTTCTTCCTCCTCCTTTCTTTTATTTCCTTTGCTCCATTCTGCCCATCAGTCATAGGCCTACACTAGTGTGACTTTTTGAATTAGAGCCTCCAGCGCCTTTTCCACTGTCTTTTTAATCATGACTACCGGAAAGTGAACTCTCTTTGCCCCCAACCTCAGAGTTCCAGATGATTTCTCTTCAAAAACAAGTCCCCTCTCTAAGGGCTGTGCACTTGTGGTGATACATGGCCAGCAGTTACCAATCAGCCTGAGCCAGAATGATAAAGTCCCACAAAGAGGTGTCAGAGAAAGGGTCCAGAGTAGTTGGCTGTTGTGGCCGGAAGTGTGACAGTCTCTGGCCCACGGAGAGGTGGCATCAGGAAAGCCAGTCTGAGGATATCCCATGGGTAAGGAGGATCACAGCAAGTGAAAACCCTGACCTGGCTGGTGGCAAGGCACCAAACCAGCACGGCAAATTGTGGAACTCTTGCCAGATTTGATTTTCTGATTTGGTCTCCATGAACAAAGATATTACCAACCAATTCATATACGTTTAAATTGTCCTGTCTTTGGTAACCAACAACTTAAGAAATGGAAACTAGATTTTAGCAATCACAAAAGACAGATGTTTATGTTGTTAGTTCACCATTAAATCTTGTCCTTGTGGACTAGGGACAATAGCACCATGAAATCCAAATTGGCATGTGGCCTACAGTTTAAGCTCCTAAATCACTTAATCTGTCCACATTCCAGATACCGCTTGTGTAAATTGTAGAATTTGGGCAAAGTGACTGTGCAGTTATTGTGTCTCTGCAGTGTAACGATTTTATTGAGTTTCCATAATTACTACTTTTTAATAAGTTATCTGCTAACCTGTATTTTTAAGCCCCACTGGATTATGTGTAATAATTATTTTTAAAAATGTTTAAAGATCTTAGAATTTAGAAAATCCACGCATAAAAATAGTGCAAGAATCTTATATCTAGTTTAATAAAAATGAGTGTGTAACTTAAATGTTTTTATTGATGCTTTTGTAAAAATACTGGTTTCTATGCTAAAAGATATATCTGGGAGAAATTCAAGGAATAATCTTGCACAATCTTCTACTTCAGAGTTAAGAAGTCTGAGAGCTAAAGAGATTAAGTAACTTTTACTTTAAAAAAGAAAAAAGCAATTTTTAGGAAAACCTGACTAATTTCAATCCTGACCAAAGGCTTTAAAATAATGTCTGATAGGTATTTTAAGACTAAGAAAAATCATAAAGTTACTGTGAAATGATATTGCTTTTTACATTTATTTTTAATAGTGTGTATTTTCTTCCTTTCTATTCAATTTTTGGGGTGACACCAGTTAACAAAATTATATAGTTTTTAGGTGCACAATTCCACGACCCATCATTGGTACACTGTATCATGTGAAATGACATTCTTACATTCTATTTTTGACATAGTGCTGAGGGTTAAATGAATGCATTTTAATAACTACTGACGAAAGAAACCCACCTTGTATTACTAGCCTGTAAGCACAAATTTACCATTTCTCTCCTACATTTCTATGATTTCTATGATATGCTCCAACAATCCTGGCTACTCTCAATTTTCCATGTAAGCCATGCCCTTTCCACTTTCATACTTTACTTTTACCCTTAACATAGATGATCTCTCACTCCCATATTTGCCTGTCAGAACTCTATTTACTGTGTTCCATGTTGAATGTCAATTGGCCTGTTAAACCTTCTCTGGTTACCCTAGGCATTCTCATTCTCTCTCATTCTCTCTCATTCTCTCTTTCTCTCTCTCTCTCTCTCTCTCTCTCTCTCTCTCTCTCTCTCTCTCTCATAATCTTGTGTTGTCTTAATAATACATTATAGCATATAGATGTGTCTAATTGGAGTTAGGACCAAATGATGGCTTCTGACGCTGCTAATCACTCATACGTATACATCTTCATCTTATCTTCTGACAGCACAATTTCCACCTTTAGCTGGCTGCTGCCTCTCTGTACCAGGATTCTGACTTTTGCTCATCTGTTTCCTTGCTGTGGACTGAATTGTGTCCCCAGCCCAAATTCACATGTTGAAACCCTAAGAGTATTTGTATTAGGTCTAGTAATAATTAATGTCGTTTTCTAATACTTTTTTAAATCGAATTTATTTAAACAATACAACAAAATTTAATCAACAATATAGTTGCCGTTGTTTTCTACTATTTGTGCCCAATGCTCAGGAAGCATTTTAATCCCTCTGTTGTAAAATTCTTGTGATTTTGATGCAAAAAATTCGGTCAATGCATTTTTGAGGCATTCTTCATTATTAAATTTTTTTCCAAGAAGAAAGTTTTGCAAAGAACGAAACAAATGGTAATCGGAAGGGGCAATATCAGGAGAATATGCAGGTTGAGGGAGAACTTCCCA